GCAGCTGCTGCTGCTGCTGCTGCTGCTGTTGCTGTTGCTGCTGCTGCGCCTGTCTTGTTTTAATTCTTTCGCAGCTTTCAGCTGCTGCTCTTTTCTGCTGAAGAAGCTGCAGGCCCCACGTGAGGCATCGGGCTGATCAGCAGCAGCAGCAGCAGCAACAGTAGCAGCAACTGCGGCAACTGCAGCAACAGCAGCAGCAGCAGCTTCCACAGCAGCCAGTTTTGCTTGACTTGTAGCTTTAAATTGCTGCTGTTGCGCCGCGAGCAGCCGCAGACGCAGCAGAATCTGCAGCGCACGGTGCTGCAGCAGCAGCGTTCCCCTGCGCAGCAGCAGCAGCAGCAGCAGCTGCTGCTGCCGCAGCAGCAGCAGCAAAATGATGGACCGGCTGCTTGTGCTGCGGCTGCTGGGCACCGAGGAGGAGCCGCCCCCGTACTCGCGCTTCCGGGAGCTGCAGCAGCAGCTGCAGCAGCTGCCGCCGCTGCAGCAGCAGCAGCTGCTGCAGTACATCCTGGAAACAGTGCAGCACAGAGCAGCAACAGCAGCAGCAGCAGCAAACCCTTTCCTCGCCTACAAATGTGCCCGCCTCTGCACGCTGCTGCTGCGTGAGGGCCCCTATGCCTTTAAGCCGCTGCTGCGCAGCAGCAACCCAAACCCTCTGAGGGCCCTCGAGACCTTCAGGTAAACCCTAAACCCTAAACCCTAACGCTAACCCTAAACCCTAACGAGGTGCAGTTTCGAAGAGCGCTTAAAAGGGCAGCAAAAGAAGCAGGATGGGGACTAGCTGCAGGTGGCAAGGGCCACTGGTTTAGGGGGTTTAGGGTTTAGGGTTTAGGGCTTAGGGTTTGGAGTGGACTGCAGGGCCCCGCCCCATCCTATTCTTGGTGAAGCTCCTGTTGCTGACGCTCGCGCTGAAGCAGCAAATGCTTTGGGGCTGCTGTTTGCTGACAGCAGCAGCAGCAGCAGCAGCGGCAGCAGCGGGCGGCTGGCAGCCATTGAGAACCCCAGCTGCCTGGCGCTGCAGCAGCAGCAGCAGTACAGCGCAGCAGCAGCAGCAAGCGAACAAGCCCTCAAGCTTGTTGCTGATGCTGCTGCTAAGTATCTTCCTGCTGCGCTGCAGCGGCGGCTGCCTTCCCTGGGGGCCCCCTACTTCAGCAGCAGCAGCAGCAGCAGCAACAGCAGCAGCAGCAGCAACCATGGGGGGTACGTGGCTGCTGGCTTCGCGCAGCCGGTGCAGCGGGGCTTCGGCAGCAGCAGCAGCAACAGCAGCAGCAGCTCTTCTTACATGCCTGCAACACTGCAGCAGCAGCAGCAGCAGCAGCAGCAGGGGCGGAGCCCCTGGTCGCCCCCGCCCTCGAGCCACTACACGGCGCCCTCCCCCGCTTCGCTGGCAGCAACCAGCAGCAGCAGCAGCAGCAGCAGCAGCAGCAGCAGCAGCAGCAGCAGCAGCAGCAGCAGCAGCCCGGGGGCGTACGAAGCAGGCGTTGTTGCTGAACTTGCTGCAGTCTCGGGAATGCGGCTGCGGCCTTCTGCTGCTGCACTGCGCGACTTTACGCAGCGTGCTGCTCCTCTGGACCCTTTGCTGCTGTGCTGCTTGCTGCAGCAGCAACTTGCAAAGACAGACTTGCTCTGGGCCTCCAAGCTCAGGCTGCTGCACGGAATCAAAGTGCGCACTCCTGCTGCTGCTGCTGCTGCTGGTCCTGCGGTCGCTGTTGCTGCTGCTGCTGCTGGTCCTACGATCGCTTACGCTGCTGCTGCTGCTGCTGCTACGATCGCTGTTTCTGCTGCTGCTGCTGCTAGGATCGCTTTCCCTGCTGCTGCTGCTGCTACGGCCGCTGTTGCGGCTACTGCTGGCGTGCGGATGATTTTGCTGCTTTGCGGCTGCTGCTGTTGCAGGGAATTGCTGCTGCTGCTTTTGAGTGTGCTGCTGCAGGCACTGCTGCAGCAAGAGCAGCAGCAGCAACAGCAGGAGGGCCGCTGCAGCTTTCTTTCTGCTGCAGCAGCGAACCTGCAGCAGCAGATCAGTGACTGCAGCAAAACCCCCCAGCTGCAAGCAATAGCAGAGGAAGTGCTGCTGCTGTTGCGGTCAGTGGATTCTGCTGCTGCAGACGAGGAGGACTCCGAACCAGCAGCTGCAGCATCTGCTGCTGCTGCGCCTGGTGCTGCTGCACCGTCTGCTGACTTGCTTATGCTGGAACAACCAGCAGCAGCAGCAGCAGCAGCAGATTCTGGTTCCCTCTTAGACGATTTGCTGAGACCAGAGCCGGCTCCAGCAGCAGCAACAACAGCAGCAGCAACACCAGCAGCAGCAACACCAGCAGCAGCAGCTGCTGCTGCTGCTGCGCCATCCCTAAACCAGGTCAGCAGCGCACTGTACGCGCTTCTGAGCCTAGGTTTAGGGTTTAGGGTTTAGGGGTATAGGATTTAGGGTTTGCCTTCACTGTAATGCTCAAGGTTTAGGGTTTAGGGTTTAGGGTTTAGGGTTTGCGCTTTTGCCTTCAGGCGGACAGCTTAGATCTGCTGCTGGGTGGAGGACCCTCAGCTGCTGCAGAGCCCCCCAGTAGGCATAAGGGTTTAGGGTTTAGGGTTTAGGGTTTAGGGCTCAGACACAAGGGGCTTGAGCGGCGCAGGAGCTTGTGCGAAGGCTCTAGGGTTTAGGGTTTAGGGTTTAGAGTTTGGGTCTTGCGATTTCCTGCAGCGGCGCTTTTCTCGGGCCTGCAGCTGAAAGACAAAGATAAGCCTGTTGCTGCTGCTGCTGCTGCTGCTGCAGCACCTGCTGCTGCTGCCCCAGTGTCTTCCCCGTTCGCCTTTGCTGCTGCAGCTCGCCCCCCTGCCTTGCAGCAGCAGCAGCAGCAGCAGACGCAAAACATATTGTTGCTGTCGCCGCTGCAGTCCCCCAGTACAGCAATGACAGCAGCAGGAACAGCAGCAACAGCAGCAGCAACAGCAACAGCAGCAACAGCGACAACAGCAGCAGCGAAGCAGTCATGGGAAATAGACCTCCTGGAGGCGGCCACTGCTGGCCCCACTCTGCTGCAGCAGCAGCAGCAGCAGCCGCAGCAGCAGCAGCCGCTGCTGCTCGATGTTGCAGCGGATGCAGTGCCTGTCCAACTGCAGCAGCAGCAGCAGCAGCAAACAGCAAGCTACGGTGCTTCTTTGCTCCCTTCCTTGGAGCAGCAACAGCAGCAACAGGCTTCTCGCTTTGCTGCATTGCAGCCGCAGCAGCAGCGGCCGGCAGTCCCGGCGTTCGCGTTCGTTGCTGCTGCTGCCGTGCCTCGGCAGCAGCAGCAGCAGCAGCAGCAGCAGCAGCAACAGGCCAAGTTCCCCGCTGTTGCTGCAGGCAGCAGCAGCAGCAGCGACGGCGGGTTCACCGCCTTCTCTCTCATTGCAAAGTAACAAGTCATCCATAGATGACAGCTAGCTAGCTAGCCAGCTAGCTAGCTAGCTAGCTAGCTAGACTGGCTAGCTAAGTGGCGACCCCACAGCTAGCTGGTCTACTGATTCTGGCTAGCCAGCTAGCTGCACCCAGCGAGCGGTCTATTCAGCTATTCAGCTAGCCGCTTGTAGCTGGCTAGCTAGCTAGCCAGCTAGCTAGCTAGCTAGCCAGCTAGGTAGCTAGCTGCTGCAGTATCGTAGCGCAGCTAGCTGGCTAGCTGGCTGTCGCGCGGCTAGCTGGCTTGCCAGCTGGCTAGCTAGATATCATGCAGCAGGCCAGCTAGCCAGCTAAATGTCCTGAGGCTAGCTGGCCAGCTAGCCAGCTAGCTAGTTGGCTGGCTAGCTAGCTAGCTAGCCAACTGGCTAGCTAGCTAGCTAGCTGGCTAAGCAACTGGCGAACTTTTGAGCTGCGGAGGGCAGCAGCCGCAGTAGATAAGGAGCGGCCAAACCCTAAACCCTAAACCCTAGCGAGCAGATACATAATTTCTTCAATTATGTTTGTTTCTATTTTGAATTAATTTGTTCAAATAAGTTATTTAACTAATTATTTCATTTGTTTCATTTATTATTTCTTTCTCTCGCGTCGAGTCCATGCGTTCAATTCATGCTGCTGCTGCAGCTGTTGCTGCTGCTGCAGTTAGTGCTGCAGCTGTTGATGCTGCAGCAGTCGACTGTGCAGCAGCTGATGCTGCAGCTGTTGCTGCTGCAGCTGTTGCTGCCGCAGCTGTTGCTGCTGCAGCAGTTGATACCGCAGCTATTGCTGTTGCTGCTGCAGCTGTTGCTGCTGCAGCTGTTGCTGCTGCAGCTGTTGCTGCTGCAGCTGTTGCTGCTGCTGTTGCTGCTGCAGCTGTTGCTGCTGCAGCTGTTGCTGCTGCAGCTGTTGCTGCTGCAGCTGTTGCTGCTGCAGCTGTTGCTGCTGCAGCTGTTGCTGCTGCAGCTGTTGCTGCTGCAGCTGTTGCTGCTGCAGCTGTTGCTGCTGCAGCTGTTGCTGCTGCAGCTGTTGCTGCTGCAGCTGCTGCTGCTGGAGCTGCTGCTGCTGCG